GAAGAGCAGCGGAGGCCCAGCTGAGGGGGGGAGGCGCGCCGTGGAACAGCATCAACAAGGGCTTTGCTTCCTGCCGCTGCTGCCCGGGCTGCTGTTCCCCAGCCCGGAATAGGTCCCGCCGGCTGGGAGGGAGGGAGGGAGGGAGGGAGGCTGGGAGGTGTCCGCGCCTGGTGGCGGCGAGCCTGAGGCAGCCGGTGCAACACCGAGCTGAGCGCTAGAGACAGACCCAGGCAGCCCGAGGTGCCTGCGGCCGGAGGGAAAGGACTCCAGAGCTGGCGTGGCTGGGGCGGTGGCTCGGGGTCCCGCAAGGGAATGGAGTTTCGTCGCTTGGACAGTCACCAGACCTTTGGGTTCATAGCATTGTCTAAATGAATCGGCCAAAGGACTGTCCAACTCGTTTCTTAATTAGGAAATGGCAGACCACATTCTAAAAACCTCAAGTTATTGGTTGCTTTTCATTAAAGTACCTTTGCACCATCCCTTGCCTTTCCCCTATCCCATCCAGCCCAACGTCCTTAGAGGCTGGACATTAAAACACGCTCACGCGCGCGCACACACAATAACAACAACAACAAAGATACTTCTGATTGTGCTGGGGCGACCTGGTTTGTTCTGAGTGGGAGATAGAAGACCATTAAAAAATGGGATCATATGAATCCACCTGGCTGTTTTAGAGGGGAAAAAAGGGGTGGGGGGATTACCTAAACACCACTCTTCCAAGCCGTTTTTTCATCTTTTACCGTTGGACTAGGCAAAGATGGAGGAAGAGCACATTTAATTGAGTTTTTGCTATTCCGTTCATGGGGCCAAAAGTTTCCATTGCAAAAACTGAAAATCCTCACCTACACCGCAGACCGTTTCCTGAGTCTAATAGACTTCTGAGAAATTTTTAATCAAGCTATTAAGACATCAATTGGAGTGCAGGGTATGCATGTTGGGAAATGATTTTAATCTGGTGTAGAATATTGATGCCAGAAGCCACCTGGGCAAAGTTTTTTATTTTAATATTTTATCTACAAAGATAGTTACAAATCATTTTTTAAAAGTCAAGATATATATCTATATCTGAGAGAGAGAGAGAGCCTTTTTCCCAGGAATTAAGGCAATTCATCTGGACTTGGAGTGCTGGGGATGGGGGACAAACTTTCAGCAAAGAAGACCCCAATGCAGGCGTTTCTGGGGTGAGGCCCTTTGCAAAGCTTTACCTGCAGACCTAGTATTGAAACCTGTGTCATCACAGTCTACCTGTCTTTCTATCTGAACATCTGATTCAGGTTGCCCAATTATCGTCACTGCATCCTGCGTAGTAATTAATCAACCCTCTCAACATTTTCTTCCTCTCAGAGGTAAGAAAGCTTTTCAGAGCCACCCCAAGATGGCAAAACAGAACAGAAACCTACCTTCAAATATCCATCCCACGGTAAGCTGTTGTAATAAGTCTCAAGGAAAGTCCCTTCATACCTGGTCAGCGACCCACTCATTTGAGAGAGGAAGGCTTAAACCCCACATTGACCAACAGACCAAGGCCTAGCCCAAGGCTTTTGAATCCAAGTAGGAGTAAACCTATCAGAAACCTACCCCCTCCATTAGCCAACACACAATGGCAGAAGAGGAAATTGCAAGGCAGAACCCCAATACTAAAAAAAGTTGGATGAATCACTATGAGCAAATTCCTTTTCCCCAGACCTATGTAATCATTCAGCAAACTTGGGGTACAGGAAATCCCCAGATACTGTCCTGACCCTAATTAAGAAGTCATGAATTGGTAAGGCCTCTTCCTCTTTTTGTTTCCTAGTACAAATGCTTTATTGTATATGTTAATCAGATTTCCCCTAATTAGCTAAGAGCAAAGCAAAGAGGGATCTCCTAAAGTATGACTTGACCTGGACTGGGAATTCTCTTAGACTGGGATTCTTTGGGCTCAGGCCCCACCCCATCAGGCCCTGCAACAAGCAGTGATTATACCTAAATGGGTGTTTGAAAATTCAGTGATTCCCTCCCTCCCCATGTCCTTTTACAGAGACACATTTCCCCCCCTTTTTTTCCCCCATTGACCTTCCCCCGGCCTCCCCTATCCCCTGGCACTTTAATTTGATCTTAGTTTTAACATAATTTACTCAATTCAAAAAGGAAGAAGACTTATAAAGGTACTTGAAAAAAAATTGGATATAGTATCAAAGTTACTTAGCAAGTGTTCTCTGAGTGCCAAAAATGTGCCCAGCACATAGGGTACCAGCTTTCAGGGATACCATAGAATCAGACATAAGCTTTATCTTCAATCCCCGCCCCCCACCCCACCACCACTCCTCAGCCTTCCTGCTGTAATTTGACAGTCTGTTCGATGCTTCTCTGCCTTACAGAGACACTTTAAAAAAAAAAAAAAACTGCTTAGATGGATAGTTTTCATGGCCATATATCGTGATAGCATAAAGACCTAGATTTTCATTTTGTCCTTAAAATCTCAGTGACTAAAAACACAAATTAATCAGTAAACAGTGTTTGCTCAGCTCTGATTACAAAATATGATATGACTTACATGATATTGAGGGTTATCCAAAATAACTATCTGGCCAAGCCGGTGTGGCTTGGTGGTTGATCATAGACCTTTAAATCAGGAGGTCGAGGTTCGATTCCAGGTCAGGGGCACATGTCCGGGTTGTGGGCTCCATCCCCACTGGGGAGTGTGCTGGAGGCAGCCCATCAATGATTCTCTCTCATCATTGATATTACTACCTCTCTCTCCCTCTCCCTTCCTCTCTGAAATCAATAAAAATATATTTTTAAAAAATAACTATCTGATCATTGTATCTTTAGTAAATCACATTCTATCCCTAGTTCCAACATTATTTCCCTCTGTAGTCATTAATATCTCAGTTGCTTCCCCTTTTATTTTATATTTGAAATAGTCTCATGTTGTATTTTAAAAACCACCCCATCACCCAAACATATACCTTCATAAAACTTTCTCTGTGCACA